CTGCTCTGAGGCTCGGACCTCCGCGACGGAATCGGCGAAAGCCGCGGGGCCGTCGACGGCTCGGTGGGCCGGACTGACTCGATGGGCGACGTCTTTCGCGGCGCGGCCGTGTCCATCTTGGTGCGCCGCGACGGACTTGGCGACAGCTTCGACACGGAGGCCTCGCGACTGCTGTTGGACTCAGTGACGGTCCGTCGGGACGGGGTGGGCGACAGCCTCGGCGCCTCACTCCCGCCCCGCGACTCGGCCGCAGCCGTTCTCCGCCTCGAGGGCTTGGGCGACAGCATCTCAGTGAGCTGCTGCAGGGACTCCATCTGTGACCTGGCCGTCTCGCTCAGCTCCAGGATGCGCGCTTGGTCCGCCTCGCGGCCCTTCTCCGCCTCCCTGTCTGGTGAAGGAGAGCTGTTCGCCTCGCGGTCCCGCTCCATGCACCCCGACCGGGCTCGCGCCTGCGCGAGCACTTGCTCCTTCAGCATGCGATTCTTCTCCTCGTGGGAGAGCTTCACCTCCGCTGCGGTCTTGGAGCGCCTCTTGGCCTTAGGCGTGCCTTTGGGTGTGCCCTTGGGTGTGCCTTTGGGAGTGCCTTTAGGTGTGCGTCCCTTGGACTCGACCGACACCAGCTCTTCGATCTCACGACCGAGTTTCTCGCTCGTCTCGCGAGCCTCCTTGGCCATCTCGTCGAGCAGACTGTCCAGGTTGTCCGACGAGCTCTGTTCCCTCTCGGACGACGGCGCGCTCGGCGCCAACCTGGGGCTAGGTTGGGACCTCGGGTGCTGGAGGTCCAGCATGCTGTCCGTCAGCGTCTCAGTGCTCGTGGCGGCGGCGTCCCCATAGCAGGTCGAGGCGCGGGGAGTGGCATCCGGGTCGAGGCTCTTCTTCTGCTGAGCCGCCTTCCTGGCCTGCACCTTCTGCGCCACCTGCAGCACGGCAGCCAGGTCCGACACGCTCTGCGCCTTCTCGAAGTCCTGCTTCTCCTTACCGGGCGGGCCGGGTTCCGGCGCGTGCAGCGGCGAGTCCATGGCGTCCACCTCGCGTTGGATGAGGCTGAAGATGTTGGCGCTCAGTGAGCGCACGGCGCGCTTGTTCCGCAGCGTGGTGGGCTCGCTGGGCGGGGGCGTCGCTACCGTGGGGTGCAGCTGGACGGTCTCGCCCGTGTTGGGCGGCAGCTGCGAGTCCCGTGCGCCGTCCTTGCGCAGCGAGCGGAAGGCCAAGTCGTCCTTGACCACGTCGGGCGTGCGCCTGGGCTTGAAGGTGGGCCGATAGCGGTCCTGCGGCGTGGCGTGCAAGTAGTCGCTGTTGGGGGACGGCGCCACGGGGCCCAGGGGGATGCCGAAGGGCGGCTGGTGCTCGGCCACCTTCAGGGTGGAGTTAGCCTGGCGCACGGTGCGGTAAACCACGTCATCGAGGGTCACGTCGGGCTCGGTGCCCGGCTCCGGGGAGAGCGAGAGGTGAGACGCGGCGCGCGGGGAGAGCGGCGACTGCGGCGAGGACAGCGCCGTGGACACGAGCAAGTAGCTGCCGGCCTGCGACACGATGCTCCGCGAGTCCTGCTGCGAGGGCGGGCGTTCCGCCTGCCGCATTCTGCGCAGGGCCATGTCGTCCGCTACCTTGTCCGGCACGCCGGAGCGCCGCGGGCCCCTTTCCCTGCTGCGGGGGGCCGACTCCGACGCAGGCCCCGCCGAGGAGCCCTCGGTGTCGTCCTCCAACGAGGATGAGCGCTGGTATGTCAAAAAATGCGTCGGCGGAGCAGGAAGGTCCCTCCGCTCGGCGCGGTCTAGGAGGTCCTCGTCGCCCAGGCGGAGGCTCTTGTAGATGGCCTCTAACTCGCTGAGCGCGTCATCCAGGTTGGTCGACTTCCTCTCCTTGTCCACGATCCGCATCATCTCCTCGTCGTCCACGTCGCGCATGTCCCTGTCCTCGTAGCGGACCTGCACGATGGGCTTGACGAGCACCCCTCTCGGAGACTCGGCGTCCTTCTTGTGCTTGGACGCCCGGGGAAGTTGCGGGCTCGACACGGCGTCCGAGCTCAAAGAGCTGACCGAGTCCGCGGACCTGAGGCGCGGGCGCATCCTCCTGGACGGCGGGGAGGTGGGGCACTGGTCGCGCGTGGGGCTGTACGAGTTGGACGGGAAGTACTTGGCCGCGTTGGCCTGCGGCCTCGGCGAGGATGGTCGGCTGCCGCGCCCGCGCCTGGAGGGCGGGCTCATGGGCGCCGACAGACCGGCCTGCTGCGGGGCCGCTGGCTTCACCGTCGCCGATGCCGCGGCGGGAGCCACGGGCGCCGCGGTCTGGGCCGCCGTCTTCTGATCAGGTGACGCGATGTGGATGGGCTTGCGGCTCCGGGGCGTTTGCTC